TTGTCTCACTGAATTAAACTTCTTGAATAATACATTCCATCCCTAATATTCTCCATTGCCGCTAAGTCTTCTACTATCTACACCACTATAGGATTTGAACTGACTATTGGGTCTATGTGCTGACGTGGTATGGCAACCTGAACTGATGTACGTACGTACGTACGTACGAAGTTCTGCGTTGTAACTGACTGACTGACTGACAAAAACAACTACACATAACACAGTATTGAAAGCTCTATAAATTTTATTTTTCATGTTTACACCAATTGGTACATGACAGTTGACTTGCCAAATTTACAACGACTCAGGCGCATATGAGTATTGAATTTCCAATCTTACGTCCACATACTTGACGACGAACACAAAATAACTAAAATAACACTCTTTTTAAAGTATCATCCACAATTTTTGGCGAAGAGTTAGTCAGTCGATTACAACGTAGAACTTTGTACGTACGTACATCAGTTCAAGTTGCCATATCACATTAGCACAGAAACTCAATAGTCACTTCAAATCCCATAGTAGTAGAGGGAGTAGTAGAAGTATTAGGTTTCGAAAATAGGATTCAAGAAGTATATTCTAGTGAATTAAATTTAAAAAAAGAGATAAAAGTTCATGAAGAATTCAAAAGAAAACAAATAATGAATGCACTTGCACCATTGCAAACAATTTTAAGCCATGTCATCATCCAAGATCTCTCTCTCTCTAACTATCGATTACTATCCTCCTCTCGTGGACCCTAACCAGGCAGAGAAAAAAAACATAACAATTGTTTTATTTCTGATCATCTTTTGTTCACCTACTGTAGTGAACGAGAACACAGGTGAGGGCAACCGAATTGCATTTAACGAAAATTACAGAGTTACTCAGTAAAATCGGAACACTATATCGTAAATCGTTAATTTGCAAAATATCAGTTCATCATATCGAACTGGACTGTTCCTGTTGCAAGACATCAATCCATTGTCACTCACTATTCATGCATTTCATACAAATTCCATTGTGTTCTTCTAACTCTTCCTTTCTTGATCTTCCCCCATCCTCTTCTGCTGCCAGACATTACGTTGACACTCACGTCATATACTACTTATAAGTAGTCGCACCACACTACTACTTATTGAAACGTTAAACAAAAAACCCCAGTGAAACCAGGATGAAATTAATGAAAATGAAGCACTTTAGTTATACCACAAGTATCTAGTTTCATAAAAGAATAAGCAACAGCAACAACACGCTCAAAAAAATAAGAAACCAAGAATAATCAACCAGTAACAATAATAACAATAATAATAATGATACTATTTCTAAAGAAACAACCATCTTACTATTCAAAAATTAACAAGAAAGTAAAACACTACTTATTTCTCTCATTATATTATTAGCTTTCAAGGAGAGAGAGGAAGAGAGAGAGATGAGGAAAAAATAAGGAAACAAAAAAGTGTGTTCCTTATATTTTGAAATCATATGATTTTTTTTTGCAGTAGGAAAACAGAATGTAGTTTTTTTTCCAAATGAAAAGAGAGTTGTGATACACACAGGCAAACATACTAACAAACAACCGACCAACCAACCAACCAAGTATTATAATACGACATTCCCATCAACAGTAAGAACAATAATAGTAATAATAATAATAATAATCATAAAGAGAATGAGGTGAATGTTTGAAATATGCGCATATCTAATTGGTGTAATGCTGTTATTGTTGTTGTTGTTGTTGCACGAAATGAATGTACTGATAGATGTACACTTTATCGCTCTGTGTGTGTGTGTGTGTGTATAAACATACATTAACATGTCACGAAAGAAATATAAAAAACAAACAAACACTAATGACAATCTTTGTAATTAAGCAAATAAATTGAATTGTGGGGTTGTTGTGAAGATTGTTAAGTTTTATTTGTAATCATGAATCGATCAATGTTAGACCACCATTAGAAGAAACCTGGAAGCACTGAAAGACGGCCGTTTCGTCCTGGTATGGGGAGTGGGCGTTCGCGCACAATACCGAAGGTCCTGGGTTCGAATCCTGCGGGGTGCAGGAGTCGTGGATGCGCACTGCCACTGAGGAGTCCCATACCAGGACGAAACGGCCGTCTTTCAGTGCTTCCAGGTTTCTAATGGTGTAGTCTAACAATGATTGATTCATGGTTACAAATAGAATAAATTGAAATCATACATTAAATACAAGTCGACTATTACTTGTTAGATATGAAGTCATTGTATGTGACCAATGAGACCTGTAACAATCCCCAGTAAAATTAATCGGTCAAATTGTATTCTAAAGTGCGATTTAGGACGGCGTACTTGATATTTGATATTTAGTGCTTGTAGATGTGTAGGAGGAGGAGTTCGAAATTGAGACTAACTGATTTAATTGTCATCGCTAGTTTATTATTAGTATAATCCTCCAGTTAGTTGTCACGCTGATAACTACTGCAGACAAATATGAATGAAATAACATGATTCCCGCGCAAAACCAGCATTCGCAACAATCAATCCTGCCTACCCACAGACAGACAGACAGATACAACGTAGAACTTCGTACGTATGTATATCAGTTTAAGCTACCATACCACATTAGCATACAGAGATCAAATTGTCAATACAAATCTCCATAGTAGTAGAAGTGGTAGAAGTATTAGCAGTAATCAACAAGATTAGGAATCGAAGACAACATTCGAGAAGTACATCCCAAAAGAATCAATTTTAAAAAAGGGGAAAAAACAGTCATAATGAATTTAGAAGGTTAGAATTTGAGAGAACACAATGAATGAATACACTTGTACCATTGCAAACGATTCTGAACCATGTCATTCAAAGTCTCTAACGATCTGTTACTATCGTCTCGCGGACACCAACCAGGTAGCCTACATCTACCAACATGACTCAATCCACTTGTCAGTGACTACATGGATTTGTGCCATGTTTTGGTTTGGCCAACCCTAGCTTTCTTTCAACCTACTCCTACACCACAAAACAGCTCCATGAGTCAGTCGGTGGTTGGGCATTCGGATCACATGTCCAGACCACCTCAACTGATGAAGTTTCATTACTTCATCTATTGATCTGCCATTCTTACTTAGCACCCGTTTCCTAACAACAGCATTACTCACTCAATAGTCCCAAGATATATGAGCAATGCTTCGGAGATACCTATGGTCGAAAACCAGTAATCTACGAATATCCTCTACTCTTAACAGCCATGTTTCGCATCCATATAGTAGGATGGAGTGAACTTCTGAGCAGTACACTCGTTCTTTGGTTAGCAGACGAATATCTCGCCTACGCCACAAACGACACAAGTTAGCAAAAGCCAATCGAGCCTTGTGTATCCGTGCTGAGATTGCGTCAGTCACTAGACCATCAGCAGTGATGGCTCAAATTCTGTAAAGAATATCAATTTCTCATGTACAGTAGCTATACTTTACTGATGAGTCCAGATAACATGGAACTTAGGTATGATCTATGTATTAGATGATGAAACCTTTACACATCATTATTACCCGCCTGATTTGAATTCCAAACACAGTACGTTCAGTTGTGCTCACAGAGTTATTCTTGAATTCAGTACTGGTCCTATACATGACTACTACTAGAATACGAACTGAACATTTCTAGGTACTGCTGGTTAGTATACAAAATACAGTTACTTTTGATCATCATATTTGCTCTAACAATTTATGCTGGATTCTTCCAATCATCTAGAACATACAGAACTTCCACAAAACTATTTTATCAATCCGCCTACAAAAGTCAAATTAATCAAATTGCACTGATAGTAAGTGTAACATGTAATTGATGATGATCTGACGAAATATAGACAAAGTATACTATTCATCTGTTGCATCGATGTTATGCATTTAAATTAAGCTGTCAAGTAACTTTAAACACAAACCTATTACTTCAATATATATATATATATATATATATATATATATATATATATATACCAACTTCCTTTGAAAAAATACCCAACATCAAATCGCTATAGACTAAAGCTTTAAAATCATTTGCCTACATGATCTACTGTCCTGACAGTCATAAAAATCTTAAAACATAGACACGTATTTCGGTTAGAAAGTCATATTTTTTTTAGGGAAAAATTTAGATGTTGAAGAACAGTATGTCTGTATATACATGACACTTTCAAATAACCTCAGCGTACATTATGATTTACATGGAAACCTTACATCAACTTCCTCTAACTTCGACTCAGCATTCTACGACAATCTACGACAAACATGTATATAAAAACAGTTTTGAGCAGGGAAGAATATGATTTTCGTGTCAGTCAGTAACAACGTAGAACATTGTAAATGCGTATATAAGTTCAGGTTGCCATACCGCCTTAGCACAGAGATGCAACTGTCAGCTTGAATTCCATAGTGGTAGAGATAGTAGATTAATTGGCGGTAATGGAGAGGGTTACAGTTCAAAGATATGATTCGAGAAGTGTCATACTTCCCGTACTGAGAACTGTAGTAAAAAAAAGGTTTCCAATTTTATTCTACTTTTAATTATGAATTATTAGTGGGCTAATAAATTAGTTAAAAAATATATCTAACTATATCATACACCAAGACAATACTTAGCTTGTAAAAGTACGTATATACTAAGATTTGATCGATTAATAAGGATTTCCGTCACGGATTAGTAACAAGCACTGTTTGGCCTTTTTTAGTGCCAGTTCATTTTACTGATCGAAAATTCTACGGATTCATATTATCAAAGGAGCAACAGTTTACCCTAGATCACGATTAAATGTAACTGACGAGTTCAATAAACTAAAAAAATGACGCTTTGCTGTAAAAGCACATATGTCTATCTACAGTATCATAATACTACACAGTGTACACAGAGACAAAATAAATGGCCCCAAAGAACCTTTAGTAACATTAGTAAACAACAAAAAATCTCACAAAATTACTTGAAAAAGCAGTAATTCAACTACTATTCTGAATATTATCAATCAAATTTTTTGAAAAAAATATACTCACTCGACTTGGTAAACCATTATCCATATTGGGATCATAATCAAAAAGAGCACGAACATACATTGTTTTCTTACTAGTTGTAGTTAATCGTGGTGGACAAGATGATGATATATTACTGAACAATTCAGTCGGGGAATTGTAAAAAGGCACAGATGAAGAATTATTAGTATATGAGTCAGTGGAATTATTTAACTGTGTCATGATGATATTTTCGGAATCGTTGTTGTCTGAAGTATAGGTATTTGTACCATTTAGCTGCATACTGGTCGAACTGGTCGATAAGATATGTTTGGAAACAGAGAGAGTATTCGGAGAGTTGAACACATTCATTGAAAATTGTGAATAAAAAGATGAATTCTTAAGAATATCTACAATAGTATGCTTTCCACATGAAATCTCATTTATTGACTCAGTTAAATAGAACTATGTACAAAAGAAAAATATAAACAAAAGTAATTTATTGATTTTTGGAGGAGGGAAACATGAAAGCACTTAGCTACCAACTATTTATACGACAGGTCTTCTTAAAGATATGGACTAAGGTATCAGTTAATCCAACTTAGAACGTAGTTTACAGACGCAGTAAACCAACACTTCAAGGGATAAGTAAGACTTCTTATGTATAGCCGAGTTCGGAGACCAGCAATTATTGAACCATTTCGCTAGCTCGACAGTATAAATCGAAACACAAGATGTGCTACAGATATTCTCATAAGAGCAAGTTGGTTCAGTTGCAATACACAATAAGCTGATGATACTACAATTTATGGTTGACCTTTGAGCATTGCTAAAAGACCCTAAGGAATTTTACTTTCTTATTAGGTAGTTATAAATTCGTGATAGGAATTACGATATGGAAGTTGGAGTTTTTATCAGGAATTAACATCAGCTATAAGGCTATTTAAATATATAGACGAATGGATTCCGTGCCAAAATCTAATATCAAAAGTATTGTTCTTGTTTTCAAGCGTGATTTTGCATCTGTATTTTGCAATTAATTGGTTTTTCTTTTTGTTAACTGCACGTTTGGACTTAACACACCACGGTTCACTTTTCCCTGGTGATCATTTTCTATCATTGCGTGTTTATTCCATTCGGAATAAACACTTCTCGATAAGTAATCTGTGTAAACAAAACATACCCCAATGCTTGGGTTATCGATATCCTGTTGAAAGTAGTATTCAGTGGGATCAGTAAAAAGAGTGGAATCAAAAATCTAAGACCTGAAGCTTTTAAACAACTTGGCGAAATGGAATGTGTGGCTATGTCCTTAATGCCGCTCGGATACAAAGAGCCTGCTATTTGATGCCATGTTAGTGGTGAACGCTACCAAAAGACATTTTAGCCAGCAACATCAAGATAGTTCAAATGCTTGGTCTATCGACACCCAAATCGATGTACAGACATCCCAATAAAGCTCATAAACGAATGACAACCTCACTAGACAATAACAGAACCAGAAGTGTGTATATTTAGGCAACATTTACTCAACTGCACCGCTGAGCATACGGCTGCTGATTAGTAAATAACGAATCAAGTTGATAATACTTTTCCAAAAAATGAAAGCGGCTGACGAATTCTATTCTTATTAAACGGACTTTAAGAATACTGACTGGGAAGAAATAGTTAAGTAGTCATCAGTAAACTTAGAATATTTAGGTTCGCAATTATACTAGTAGATTCCCCCGAATCCATGGAAGAGTCAAAAACAAAGAAACTTATATAGGCTTTAATGACATGAGATCTGTTAGTCTTAGAATGAAACCCAAAAATAAAAGTTTAGCGGAAACTGTTAACAGACAACCGTCTTAAACTGAATACACCCAAAAATGTCTGAATTAGTTTGAAATTAATTTTTTCTTTCGATTTAAAACATATTAATAACAAATAAATTAACTCACCAACAGTAACAACCATGCCAAAACGAATTATCAGCGTCAAGGTCACACAAACTTTCAGATTTCGCAGAAGATTGAGCTCGAGGTCACCCAAACTAAGACACTCAATACTCAAAATGTATATGTAGGCAAATTTTTGCAAGAAATAACTGATTAGCGATCCCAAACAAAACTACAATATCTTCTGATAAGATGTCCGACGGTTTAAATTGGCTTGGTGACTATGAGCCCCCTTAATTTAATAACGCGGAATTTTCCTCAAAATATCAACTTAATGATGGTAAACCAAGTGAACTACGTCCAAAAACAGCAAGGTATTGTATATGCTAGGGGGAAAACTAGTTATATTGGAAGACATTTCATACATCTTACCGACGCAAAACCACGATTCCCCTAGACGCAATCCTCGAAAATATGTTCATCAGTGAGCCTATATTCAGGTTCGTTCATACAAGTGCAAAGAAACACACGGATAGCGTTTTCAGACTACACAGTTGACTGATGCTTATATGCCTTTACAAACGGTTTTGAGACGTTTCATTCAAGGTCTTTGACCACCTATTACTATCACCTAGCGGGCTCCAACCAGGTAGTCTGCATCTACCAACACATCTTAGTCCACTTGTCAGTGACTTCATGGATTGGTGCCATGTTTTGGTTTGTCCGCCTCTAGCTTTCGGCCAAGCTATTCCTATATCGCAAAACATTGCTCGACGAGGCAGTCGGTGGCTAGGCATACGTAACACATGTCCCAACCACCTCAACTGCTGAAGTTTCATTACTTCATCTTTTGACCTGCCACCCTTACCTAGTACTCGTTTCCTAACGACAACATTGCTGACTCGGTTGTCCGACGATGCTCGAGCAATGCTTCGGAGACACTTGTGATCGAAGGCCAGTAACCTAGGAATATCTCCTACTTTGACTGGTCATGTTTCACAGCCATAAAGTATTACGGAGCGAACTACTGCGCAGTACACTCGTCCTTTGGTAAGCAGACGGATATCTCGCGTTCGCCATAAGTGACGCAGGTTGGCAAAAGCCAGTCGAGACTTCTCTACCTACTCTGAAAGCACAGATAATTAAATCGGTGAACTCTCTCAACTGCTTCACTCCGTATCACTAGTTCTGGTGCTCACGCTAGTCAATCGTGTGGGTGAGAACCACATCCCGAACAATCTTGCTTTGTCGGATAGTGTAATCAGAATACTTAGCATTTTGTCAGCGTCCTCACCAAGTAGAACTATGTTATCAGAATACTTTAAGTCAACAAGGTCCATTCCTGAAAGGTCAGACGATGATAAGTTCAACACTGTAAGCATATCTACGACAAAGTTAAACAAGATTGGAGGGAGTGTACAGTACTGACGACCACCACTCGAAGTATAGAATTCCGACGACAGTTCGCCATAAGCGCTAAGTCGAGAAGATAGTTGTATGTTACAATAAATTAAAAAGCAGGTTTGTATTTTCTAGAAGTCATTTGTTACTAAATCCATTTTGGATGCAGTTTCTAGCGTTCAGAAATGTTCTGCGGAAAATCTGATTTATTGATGCAATTTCTAATCTGTTCTATGCTGATTGTAGCTAACTAACAGCTTATTATGGTAACGGCCCTTCATCCTATAGTCGTACACTTCTGCAGCCCAAAGTGATACTACAATTATATGTAAATTTATGTCGTTTGAATGAAGAATTAACCGTCTTATCGTTTTGCAGTTGTTCATCCAGCTGAAGAGTTTTAAGATACACATTTTAAAGATCACCTTTTAACTAAATTTAACATTTATCTAGCAATAATGTCAGTGTACGGATAACATCGATCCACCTATGTCAGCGAAGCAGAGCATTTTCTTTACTTACGGCTCCTTCTTCATGTGAATCTATTATATTCATACGATTGTTTTTCCCTATTTGTTATCCAACTAGTGACTTTTATAGAAGTCTCTATAAACTTCTCCAAAATGTTAAGCGCTCTTATGTAGTAGTAATGGCTGGTTACTTTAACGCTCAAGTAGGTAGACTCAGCGATAAGGAAAGACACCTGGGTAGATCTTATGGTGTCAAGGCTATAGAACAGATAATAGCTATTGTCTACTGCAGCTATGCTCAGATTCTTAGCAAACACTATCTTTAAACATAAGGTAAAACAACTTTTGATTTGGCGACCCCGAAAGCCGACCCAAAGATGGACCCAACCATATCACAGCGCTATAAGCCATCGGTGGAGAGGCTCTGTTCAAGACTGACGCTTATACTGCAACACTTGTTTAAACTCAGACCATACTCTAATGAGAGCGCGTATTTGTTCGTGCCTCACTGAACGCAAGAAAAATTTCGCAGGGAGACCGCTTAGGGTTTTACTTAATGTAAATAAAGCTAAGAATATATTTCAGGAATAACTGGAAAAACAGTTAGGCAGCATGTAGTAAGTGATGCCCACCCTGAGACAGCTTGGAGTCACATCAAAAAGGCTGTGGAAACAGCCGTGATTTCTTCTACTAAGGTAAATCATACGGTTCTGGAGAAGCCGTGGCATCTACCAAACTCATGGATGCTCGAAAACTCATCCCACCTGGCTCTAAGCATGATAAGGAGCGGAGTCAGATGAGGCGTATGCTGATAAAAAGCCTTCGCAATGATCGAGAACAGTGGTGGGTAGCGAAAGCAAGGGAGATAGAAAAGGCAACGGCGATGGCCAACAGTAGGCAACTATTTAGACTCATCAAGGATACTGGTATTAGGAACCCGAATGTGAGTGAGACTATTTCGGAAAAGGATGCTCTTATTATCCATTCTCAATCCAGGAGAATGGACCAATGTGCAGAACATTTCAGGGATCAGTTCAACTAGCCTCCAACCACACTTCGGGTGCCCACGATCTCCAGTCATCCTGAGTGGCAAATTGACGTAAGTGCCCCGACTCTTTATGAGGTTGAGAAGGCGTTAGGAAATCTGAAGTGAGGGAGAGCAGCAAGAACTGATAGACTGACTCCTGAGATGTTTAAGGATGGTGGTCCAGTTTTAGCAGCTAGTTTGACTGAGATCTTAAGAAGAATCTAGGAATTGGGTTTAATACTATCTGACCGGTCTCAATCACTGTCACGGTCTCAGTCTGTAAGAAAGGACCAAAGTCCTCTTGTGACAATCACAGGGGGATAAGTTTAACTAATACACTGTCTAAATTGTTAGCCTCGAGCTCGTGAAGAGCAAACTCGAGAAAACCAGGCCGGTTTTCGACCTGGACGTAGTTGTATAGACCACATTTTCACACTACGACAGGTCCTGGAACACAGACACACATTTAGGCGTCCTACAATAGTTGTTTTCCTGGACCTGAAGGCGGCATTCGATTCAGTGGATCGTGAGGTTCTGTGGCAGTGTCTGTCATTGAAAGGTGTACCAAAGAAGTACATTAACCTTATACAAGCCCTTTACTCGAACACCACTGGTCGATTGAGGGCTTATGGCGAAGTGTTATCAGAATTCTCTACTTAAATTGGTGTCCGTCAAGGATGTCCAATTTCCCCATCCTTGTTTAATTTTGTCGTAGACATGCTAATAGATGTAACATTATCTTCGTCTGAATTTTCAGGAGAAGACCTTCCAACAGGTGGCTCGCTTATTGACTTAGAATATGCCGATGACGAAGTTCTATTCGGCAAAGACGCTGACCAGATGCAGAGTCTTCTGACTACCGTAAGCAACAATGCAAGCATATTCGGGATCCAGTTCTCCCCGTGGAAATGCAAAATTGTGGGTTGCATCGGCACCTGAACAAGTGATAGGGAGTGAAGTAGTCGAAAGTGTTAACCACTTCACTTATCCCGGAAGTCTCGTCAGTGCTGATTGCTTGGTGACTGACGAAATTTCAACACGGATACAGAAAGCTCGACAGGCTTTTGCCAACCTGCGTCACTTATGGCGAACGCGAGATATCCGTCTGCTTACCAAAGGACGAGTGTACTGCGCAGTAGTTCGCTCCGTAATACTTTATGGCTGTGAAACATGACCAGTCAAAGTAGGAGATATTCCTAGGTTACTGGCCTTCGATCACAAGTGTCTCCGAAGCATTGCTCGAGCATCGTCGGACAACCGAGTCAGCAATGTTGTCGTTAGGAAACGAGTACTAGGTAAGGGTGGCAGGTCAAAAGATGAAGTAATGAAACTTCAGCAGTTGAGGTGGTTGGGACATGTGTTACGTATGCCTAGCCACCGACTGCCTCGTCGAGCAATGTTTTGCGATATAGGAATAGCTTGGCCGAAAGCTAGAGGCGGACAAACCAAAACATGGCACCAATCCATGAAGTCACTGACAAGTGGACTAAGATGTGTTGGTAGATGCAGACTACCTGGTTGGAGCCCGCTAGGTGATAGTAATAGGTGGTCAAAGACCTTGAATGAAACGTCTCAAAACCATTTGCAATGGCGCAGGTGCATTTACTGTTTGTGTTCTATGAAATTCTAACCTTCTGAATTCCTCAACACTTCTACCTTTCTCTTTCTAAATTTACCTCACTGAATTATACTTCTTGAATAACATCTTCAAACTCTTATCTCTCCGATTGCTTCTTATTATTTTACTACCTCTACTACTATGAGATTTGAATTGACAATTATATCTCTGTGAACTTCTGTACTTACCTGCAAAGTTCTACGTTGCTTTTTATCATGATTACGAGTGACTTGTCTTCACTAACCTAAATAAATGTACGACCTAATTAAGTAAAGGAACGGTCTGAGAAATCATATTTTCAATGATTTACACAAAACGGTATCTGTTGGGTGATGAATCGAATTCAAACAATAATATTTTCTGTTCTGCTCCTCTCTTGTATCTTTTTCGTTCTCTTTCTGAGCACCTCATCCTACGACTTAGATATCAGCCCTGATATTTCCGGGAAATTACAGTGGCTTTACGCAGGAACCGGTTAAATTACATTTATTTTGTATCGATTCTTCCCCAGCTTTTCTTCATTACAACACAAACGATTTGTTTTGCGCCAACTATTGTATTGTACATTACAGTCACCTTAACATTATTTACATTTTTATGTGGAAAATATCATTCATCAATGGTGATGACCAGTGTATCTTGTAAAATGTTTATCTAACTTAATAACTTTTTTAGTAAATGTGTTAGCA